AAGGACTTCATCAATCAACATTTGCTGCTAATTTATACCAACTGTCAGTCTGGAGGTTTAATGTAGAGCGAGGATGCCTGTCGAGTTGATCCTGCAGCTTCACGCTGGTGTTTTTGCTGGTTTTAGCAAGTGTCTTCCCATTTCAAACCACTGAGCACAGTTTTCAAGTCAAAGTGTTTCCAGTATAGTAAGATAAAAAGAAAAACAAGCTAACATTTTCTAATTAAATTAAGCTGCTCCACTCTAAACTTTAGTTTTAGTAGAAAATGTAAAACAGTTGAATTTATTGGACAAAATGTCTAAAATGTTATATACAACTGAAAGCTTAAATTAGACCTACAGATACCACTGGGCGGCACGACGGCTCAGTGGTTAGCACCGACGCCTCACAGCAAGAAGGTCCTGGGTTCGATCCCCCGTTCAGACCTGGGGTCTTTCTGTGTGAAGTTTGCATGTTCTCCTTGTGCTTGCGTGGGTTTTCTCCAGTTTCCCCCACAACACAAAAACATGTACAACAGGTTGCCTTCAGGCCCAGGCCGCCCTTGAAAAAGAGATCTGAGATCTCAATGGGACTTGCCTGGTAAAATAACGGTAAATAAATAAATAAAATAATAAACTTTACAAATTTAGAAAATGAAATGCAGTTTAGAAAGAATGCAAGAAATTCATGTTAAATAAATGAGTGAAAACAGTTTGCTTTCGATTATGAAGACCCTGAAAATGAGAGGAAACATCTCCACTGTGTTCTAGGTTTGAATCACATAAATAACACTTCAATGGATGAATGTGAACATATGGAACCAGTCATGTGGTTGAATTTTTAGACCCATTGCTCACAAACAAAAGCACACATTAAAATGAAATAAAGATGTGCCCATAGGCTTTAAATAAAACTCATAATTACAGTTTTTATGTGTTTATAATGCACTTTGACTATAATGCAACCCCCATTTGTTGAGCTTAAAAAGTATTTTTAAAAATCTAATCCTCATGTATAAGGCTACCSYTCATTTCATATGGACTTCAGGATTTCAGTCCTTGCRGTGTACCCTCTGGTGGGAAAACATTATTTTTGGGAAACACACTTGTGGACGTGTTTGTGGCTGAAAATGATTCTCTGCTCTCCCAGAGAAGCTGGTTGTTCAATTAGCAAGATGGACTTAAAGTGCTTGTGATGTGCATATCCTTTAATTACAAAAAAGTCTAAGAAAGCGTCTTTATTTTTAAGGAACTTGGCATAAAACTCATTTTACCCATTTTGTTACATAACTGGCAAATTTTCTTTTGAACTTGGCTCAGTCAAAGTAGGAAGTGACGTCAAAGGGGAATTCTTCAGAAAACGTAACTTCTTGGTCTTTGTTTATTGAAACATTATTTGAACTCCAACTCTTCATCTTTAACTGATAGTGACTCAAAATAATCTAAAGAAATATTTCATTCTTCTCTACAGTCTGTGTTGGTGGCCATTGTAGCAATGCTCTGTTTACACGCAGACATTACCCTTTGATGTCACTTCCTGTTACTTCACATGCTAATATCTCAACAACTGTTCATCTCGGCAGCATTAAATTTGTTTTTCAATATATCGTAATGTTATCTTTCAAAAAATGCATTCATATTTATTACAAAATTTGATGACACAGGCACTTTAAGAGCAGACAGATGTGCATGTCTTCTTTCCAKCTCTGTGGTAAACAAGAAAAATGCTTATGCTTAGCTCYGCGGGACGTACACCAGGAGGGAGGGAGAAGCAACACAATACTACTGTTATATACGAAGAAATATTGAAACTTATTGTGGTAGAAAAAAATCGGTCAAAAATAGCACTGATCCCCCATCGTTTTGATASGTTTTTAGGGTTAAATTTCTTGCATTATACAGGCATAAATATGGTACTCCTGTCAGCATATGTTAGCATAACATAACTGTATATCAGTAGCATAATGCTACATGCTAAAAATGAAAAAAAAAATGTATTAAACAGAAAAAGAATGAAGTCACTGATGAAAKAGGTTGACAATAAACGAGGCAGAAAGATGAAGGGTGGGGGGCTTGTTTCTACTACAGAGTGAGGACCATTTGCAACAGCTACTATCAAAGTGAGGCCTTTGATGTAAAGTGAACAACTCTTCAATGTCCTCACTTTATTTGCAGCTCTTTTCCAGGTTTAGAGTTTTAGAGGTATGGTGCGAATTAAGTTCTGGTTCAGGTTAGGGTTAACTATAATGATAAATAGTAATGGTTAGTTTTAGGGGAAATGTCTAGGTTAGGCATAAATACAGTTACAAAAATGAATGKAAGTCAATACAAWGTCCTCAGTTTGATGCTAATACAAGGATGTGTGTGTGTGGGCATGTTTTTACTACATCGCGGGAACCATTTTCCAGAAAAAGGCAGCCTTKTGGGGACAGAATGTGCATCATAGGGACCGAAGCCCCACGGGTACAATGATAATTTCGGGTGGGGGCAGTGGTGGGYAGCGCTAATCCAAAAATTAGCTCCGCAATTTCTAAAGCGCTTATGAAAATATTTAGGTCCRCTACTTCAAAAATGCTTATGCCATAGAAAAACTAGCAGAAGCTAATTTTAAAGCACAAGTTCAATTTGACACTTACTAGCCGGAAATAATTCAAGTACAATATATGCACAACACTGTCAACATGCAGCCTTGTACAGCTTAATCCCACAACCGCCGATTGCTGGGGATGTGATATCATGAAACAGACCTTTGGCTCCTGGTGTAAAAATTAAAAAGTTGTTGAGGATTGCTAGTTCGGCTGMTTCTTTGTCTTTTTCTTTTGTTTGTTGTAGATTTTTCATTAAAGAAGCATCAATAAAGTAATTTAAAAACTGTTTATTGGAAAACTGCAGTGATGCATTCTGGTACATGATGGATTTGATTTGTGACGGGAAGCGAAAGCACGGAGTACAGGAAACTACCTGCAAACTCCAAAATAAGAGCTTGGATTTTAAAGTTTTCCATGTAGTTGCTCCAGTTGACCACTAGATGTCAGTCTAACCCCGTTGGCCAATTGCTTCAACTAGTTACGTCAAGTATTGAGCTCCAGCATTTAAACATTTTTTTTTAAAAAAGGAGCTCCAATTGTAAAGTAAAATAAATCAATACATACAGAATTTTAGCAAGGATTACAAACGTTAACTGTTTTTGCTGGGAAAGGGAGTACTACACATTGCCTTCCTGCTACGTAAGCAGACACAAAGCATTGTGGGAAATGAGAACTATGGCCGAAAGCAACAGTCAGCAAGGATGTACAACTTTCCAATAAGTGTGTTCATCTGGGAGGGGTGCTGTTGGACAGATCACGTGTGATGATGTGATTTATTGACAGCCATACCTTCTGCTGTTCAAGATAATGA